ATAACTGATATATTAAAATATCAACTTTTAAAAATGTTTTATTATGCAAACTATTAAAATTGCCACATTAGTATAATATTCTACTTACTAACTATAGGTAGCTTAGAATTACTGTTTCTTTCTCTTTGGTAGATTATAATCTAGAGTTGTCATAAATACCAACGTTCAATAAATTGCCTTGATTTCAATTTAATAGGGCAGATTCAAATCATAAATTTATTTTAGACATTGTGATTATAGCATCACACCTCAATTTAATATGAAATTGTGGCACTCTGAATTTCATGCAAGCCTTAATAATTATTTTCTAAATGCAAATTTTGAAAACTAGATTTCAGCAGAGGATGAATTTGAAACGTCAAGCTAGCTATGCCTGGGAGGATATGCCAGTATTTACTTGAGTTGAGTTATGACACACATACATATATTTTACCAAATTGTTGATGAAATGCCATAGTTTATTTCTAATATATAGTTTAATGAAAAAGTGCTGTTTAAAAGAGAAGATAACATGGCAAAATGTTCCTTCCCTCTCTGATTTACTATTCACTTATCTTAAAATACTTGAGTGAGTAAAGAAACATGGAGTTTTAATTAATATTCTATAAGCAAAAGTAAAAGTGGACTTCCTAAAAGTCAACGTCCCTAGATAATTTTTTTAACTAAAAATGATCATTCACAAGCAACATCATTGGATGTTAGGAAAGCTAATTTCAACACACAGTTGGTATTCAATAGCTAAATAATTATCTTAGCCCTAAAATGTGGAGGCAATTCAAGATGCTCTAGAGAGCAGAATAGATTAATTTGATAAAGAAACCCTTAGACACCCAGTTTAGGATTCGACATTTGAGCTTCATGGACCAATATACAGAAGAATATACTTTCCATTTAACTGGGTGGAATCCATTTCCTCAGATTCCTCAATACATAGAAATTTAATTTTCAAAGAAAAATTTAGAAAACATGAGTCAGCCAGTTTATTAAAAAAGTGAATCACCCTCTTGCTCAAGTGCACCTGATAGTTAATGGCCGAAATATGACAACAATTAAGGGCTTTTGACTACACTCCCAGGCCTATCCCTTGAAGCACTCTGCCGCCCCACTCTATTTCATATGAACACAAAAAAGTGTGGCTTTTATAAACATATCTTTTCGGGAATTTCAATCTTTAAAGAAAGCCTTTAAATAACAATTTAAAATATGTTTCTCTTTGAAAGAGCTTATTCTGTCAGTGCATATATTACAATTACTGAATGGGAAGAGAATAATCAAAGACAATTAAAATATCATAATACATTCATTTTTACTTGCCTTAATTTGTGCACAATTTTAAGCAATATTTTTAAAGATTATTTATAAATACCTAATCTATGTTACTTTCTTTGTATTGAGAAAATAATTTAGATAATAAGAAATTTCTAGGCTGGGGCGGTGGCTCATGCCTGTAATCCCAGCACTTTGGGAGGCCGAGGTGGGCTGGTCAGGAATGAGACGATCCTGGCTAACATGGTGAAACCCTGTCTCTACTAAAAAAATACAAAAAAATAGCCAAGTGTGGTGGTGGGCGCCTGTAATCCCAGCTACTCAGGAGGTTGAGGCAGGAAAATGGCGTGAACCCAGCAGACAGAGCTTGCAGTAAGCAGAAATCACGCAACTACACTCCAACTCCTGAGAGGCAGAGTGAGACTCTGTCTCAAAAAAAAATAAAATAAAATAAAATAAAAATTTAAAAAATCAATTTTAAATGTTATTTTTATACTAAAGGTTTAAGTAATACCTCAGTCTTATTAATTGTAAGAGAACTAAGGAGTTTTTTTCAACTTTTTTTGGTGGTATGTTATTGATCTAAGGCTGATTTAACATAGTTTCAGTGTGTATCTATCAGAAGTAAGACAACCTGGTTAAATGATATAAGTAGAAAAGAGGTGACAAGGTGATGATGACTGCTATTACAAATATTTGATGTCATGATGGTGTTCCTTTTGTAAGATGAAATGTAGTAAAATACTGACAGGAAGTCTAAACCTAGACATGATCCAGATTATTTGAATTTCAATTAATATGAAGTTTTTCTGTATATATTTTGAAATATATTTTTATTGATGACTCTTCTTAATTACATATATTGAGTACTTGTATTCCAACTTTCACAACACAAGGAGGATTTAAGGGACAATCTTCTTCTCTTCTGCCAAAATCAAACATGCAAAGACTCTCATGACAATTTCCAAGAACAAATTATATGGGAGCCGATCACTATAAAGAACAAATGTTCACTATTAAGTCCTTCTAATTCCTTGCTACTTATAAAGTGGTCACTAGCACATATCAAAGTATGTTAGAAATAGAGAAAAGGAGGCCCCATCCCAAATTTACAAAATCATACTCTACATTTTTAAAAGATCTCTGAGTGATTCATATACATGGTTTTAGAAGCACTGCTTTAAATTTGGAGAAAGCATGAGAAAGAAGGAATTTGTGTAAACAATTGTATGTATATCTATTTTCTCATGTAACTAAGTATGCTACAGTACTAGTTATACAACAGAATATTATATACTACTGTATTTGTCAAGCACTGTGTGAAGACATTCATGAAATTTATTGCTGTGTTTTAAATCTCATAACAAACCTATATGATGAGAACTGTTATTGACATTTTGCAAAAGGAAAACTGAGATTTACAGAAGTAGACAGGACAAGATCACACAGACAGTAATGGGTAGGAGACAGTCTGACCAAAGAACTTGTGCATTTAATCATTATACCGGCTAGCATGTGGCTATGCGGAGATTTCAATTTATATCAAACTATGATGCCAATTTTTGAATGTAAAACATATAAATTATACAAAGACTATGATGAATAAAAAAATCCTGCCCCATAGTTCCAAAAAAAAAAAAAAAAAAAAACTTATAGTACATAAGTCTTAAAGTCTAGGCTTTCAAAATGCTCCCTATCAGCCAATTTATGTTTTTTAAAATGGTAAAATACGCAATCAGAAAAGTTTGCATGGGTACAAATACTGGCTACTCATAAGCAAAATAAATTTAATCTTCTATTCATGAAAACAAAAGAGTGAGTGATATGGTTTGGCTCTTTGTCCCTACCCAAATCTCTTGTCTAATTGTAATCCTCACATGTCAGGGGAGCTGGTGGGAGGTGATTGGATCATGGGGGAGTATTCTCCCTTGCTGTTTTTGTGATAGTGAGTTCTCATGAGATTTGATGCTTTAAAAGTGTGTGCCACTTCCCCTTTCGCTCTCTCTCCCTCTTGCTACCATGTGAAGTAGGTCCTTGCTTCCCCTTCAACTTCTGTCATAATTGCAAGTTTCCTGAGGCTTCCCAGTCATGCTTCCTGTTAAGCCTGTGGAACTGTGAGTCAGTTAAACCCATTTTCTTCATAAATTATCCAATCTCAGGTAGTTTTTAATAGCAGTGTGAAAACGAACTAATACAGTGAGATATTAAGAATGAATTCTAGGCCAGGCAAGGTGGCTCATGCCTGTAATCCCAGCATTTGGGAGGCTGAGCATTTAGTTGCCCCTGGGCCAGGGGGCAGCTAAAAGGCCCACAACCCAGGAATCACTTGAGTTCAGGAGTTCAAGCTGGGGCAACACAGCAAGACCTCCTCTGCTGCTAAAAAAAAAAAAAAAAGAAAGAAAAAAGAAAAGAAAAGAAATTAGTCTGGGGTTGTGGTGCACCCCTGTAGTCCCAGCTACTTGGGAGGCTGAGGTGGTAGGACTCTTTGTGCCCTGGAGATTCAGGCTGCAGTGAACTATGATGGTGCCACTGCACTCCAACCTGGGCAATACAGCGAGATCTTGTGTCAAAAATAAAAATAAAGAATGAATAAATTCTGAAATATTTAGATGTTTAGATGATCATATACATTAGAAAATAAGTATTTTATCTGATTAAAAGATACATGTCTCTCCTTTAATCTGGACAGAAAAGTAAAGAATCAGACAGATATAAATATGTATTTTGTATTTTTCTTTCATTGGTTAACAATAATTTTAAAATAAATTATAAAGATAATACAGACTGCTCTATTTCACAGCAGTTCTTGGGACCAAAAAGTGAGCAAAAAATAAAGGAAATACCACAGCGATTTTTCTTATATTCAAGCTCATAACTAATATGATTAAAAATAGTTAACATTTACTGAACCATTGCTCACATGTAAGGCACTGTCGCAAGATTTTTTAAAATATAATTTAATCTTAACCATGAAATAAGAATTAGCTTTTCTTTCAGATGAGGAAACACTAAACTGTTAAATGTTGGCTTCGGGATTTAAACTTACGTAGACTGGCTCCCGTTCTCACAAATCATGCATATAATTTTAGGAAAAGTTTTATCTCCCATATATTTAACATATTTCAGATTTCCTCCCTCTTTAAGACAGAATACACACCTAATTTTTTTCTCTGAATTATTTTAGAGGTGTACATTACCATCTCTTTATAGTCACATTGCCTTAATGATCTTATAAGTGAGATAGATGCCATGGGTTTATTTGATCAATATATATGAATTACGCCTTTAGTGCCAAGTTTCCAGTTTTTTCATTCAAAAAAAGACCGAAAGATAAATTATGCTGTAATTTGTTTCCTTGCACCATCTAGTGGATTTAAATGACAACTGCGGCATTGCTATAAACGATTCACTAGTCAATCATGTAAGTCAAATTTTCAAACACATCCCGAGAACTGTTCCTGAAATGTTTCCAATCACACCACAACAGTGCATATTATTAAATTTTTCCGTTTTTCAGAGGATATCAGTTAAGCATGGCTGCTGAATTAATTAGCGAATGTTTAAATTTACAAATAAAGTAACATAAAATAATATCTTCGCAATCTTTTAATAATCGGAGATAATGGAAGTCGTACACTATGTTCATTGCGTTCCTTTTCACAAACTCAAACGCTCTCAAAGCCGCAGCGCGCTGAGAGGCTCCACGAGTCTGCGCGGAACCACTGCGCAGGCGCTCTGAGGAGCGGAAGCGGGGAGGCGGGGCTAGGCTCGACAGGAGAGCGGAAGAGGCCCCGGCCGCTGGGTGAGGCGCTGAGACGGTTTGGCGGTGTGTACTGGGCCAGGCGCAGCTAAAAGGCCCGCAACCCGGGATACGCCAAAACAAACAGAAGGACCTGGAATTCCGGAGCAGTCGCCCCTGTCGCTGCTGCTGCCGCCGCGGACACCACCGACCCCGCTGCCAGAGGACTGGGCTCTGAAAGGCGTCTAGGCCTAGGCGCGGCCCGTGGAGCCAGACGTGTTGCTGCCGTGAGTAAAACGAGCGCCCTCTCCGCAGTCGTTTACAAATTAAAATGGAGGAAATTTCGTTGGCCAATCTGGATACTAACAAGCTAGAGGCCATCGCTCAGGAGATTTACGTAGACCTGATAGAGGATTCTTGTTTGGGATTCTGCTTTGAGGTGCACCGGGCAGTCAAGTGCGGCTACTTCTACCTGGAGTTCGCAGAGACTGGTAGCGTGAAGGATTTTGGCATTCAGCCAGTGGAAGACAAAGGAGCGTGCCGCCTACCGCTTTGCTCCCTTCCCGGAGAACCTGGGAATGGGCCTGATCAGCAGCTGCAGCGCTCACCTCCGGAATTCCAGTAGCTGCAAAATGAGAGTCTGAAAGTGGCCAGGACAATAACATAGACTGGTCCTGTGGCTTGGAGGAGTAAGCTAAGTAGAAAAAAAGTAGAAAAATCAGACAAAAGTTCTAATTCCCCTTGAAGATACTAGCATTTAAAAACCCAAAGTGGATAATTTAGGAATCCTTTTTTTAAAGTGTATTACCTGGAGCAAGCTCTGAAGCCCTGGGCAGGAGGAGCTGCACAGCCTGCGGGCCATGCAGTGCCTGTTGATCTCTAAACACACCAGGATGTGCGCAAGATTCTGTAGTGCCCCCCAATGCACAGGTGAGCAGTTGTGTGCCCAGCATATAAAATTTTTGGTTCCTCAGCCTTTCTGTCTGCCTGATGTCAAGGGCTTCCTGGACAGTTTGGACATCACAGTTCGTCAGGCCGTAATCAGTGGCCTGCAGTGGGACTGCCCCTTTGATATCTGAACCTTTGATATGGGCTTCTCTGAGACAAGTAAATGTCAGGTGCAAAATCTGGATACTAACATTTTCAATTTGTGAAATCCAAGAAAAAGAAGTCTGAAGTTTGATAGGGAAGCTCTGTAGCCTTGACTCCAGCAAGAAGAAAAGGTCAAAACCACCTATTTCCCAAAAGTCCAGACTTTACAGTGATTCAGCTGAGTTGAGGACAGCGCCTAGCATTTGGCTGAGCAGAGCCCTCTTCCTTGCCCTCCAACCTGGTGGCATAGGCTTGGCAAATGGACAACTTGGTTGTCCAGGCAGGCTGAGGATTCGATTATGATCCCCTGGGGAGGTAGCAGGGACCTCTGCAACTATGCACGATCTCTCAAACTTCAAGATTCATGTCTGGATGTGTTATGCTGTGGACATAAGTTTAGTAGGGCAGTCACTTCCTACTCTGAGTTACTGGTTACCTAGCCACTCCATGGGTATGACTTGGTCATTAAGCCAGTTCACTACCTGCCTCCCACCCTGGGGTCAGGACTGAACTATAGAAGAGCATCATGGCTGTGCAGGAGGCTATGGTTTGAAAACTGAGCCCAGAGGGCACTTTCAGCTGCCCCCAATAATGTGAATGGATTAGTGCTGGGAGCCAAGGAGCAGGACTGGATTATCTCATCTGACTGTGTGCAGAATCCTGTTGAATGTCCCTCTTTCTTTGGTTGGGTAGTCAGAGCTCTGCTATGGTGAACATCCAGACTGTCACCACCTTCTCTCTGCCCCTCGAAAGGGGCAGTCCTTTCCACTTGGTCCCCTTTGGATCTTGACAAGAGGAGCAGTCCTTTTATTGTTAGATGTCAGAGAAAGACCTCCAAAATCTCCTGACTTTAGGGAATGGTATAGGGGAAGATGGGAAGTAAGAGCCACATATCAAACTACCCTCCACTTTATTCCCTAAGCGAGGGTTTATGAAGTATAAAGGGGTGGGAGCCCCGAGGTGAGCAGAACGGTGCTGCTTTATTTGAAATGTTTTCTTACCTCATTCTGTGCCCCAGTAGGGGGTCCAGCCTCATCTGTCTGGCTTGGCTCCATGTTCCTCCTGTCCCTTGCTCCACTGCCTATCTGGTGCCCCAGGTGCTGCTTCCACTCCAGCTCTCACATTGACCAGTTTCAGTTCAGCTCTTAATGCTCCTGCTTCTGAAGCCTGCCCAATTTCTTTTTTCTTGGCCTCTGTTTTTGTTTTTGTTTTTGTTTCTTTTTTCTTTCTTTCTTTTGTCTCTTGTTTTTGTAGAAGATTCAGAAAAGAATCTTTCTTATGGCTCCCTCTGTTGGGATTGGAATTGGAAGAGAACTTAATTTTTTGTATTTAAAATGCAGTATCATGCCTAAGCATTTCTCCTGTATAGGACTGCCTTGCTAGTGTGCCCTCTTGCTGTTTCTTACTTCATAAGGAGTTGTATCTTCCCACCTCCATTTCAATACTGCTTGTTAGGACCTAAGCAGAAGAGCAGTAAAGGCTGATTGACACACAGGGGGATGGAGTTGGTCCTTATCCGTTCTCTAACCCTTGCTGTGCATGTATCGGTCCTTATCCCAGAAGATACTATTTAGACTGTGTAGACTGATTTAGATTGCATACTGTAGGGGATTAAGGAAACCATAGAGATTGGGCCTTGGAACTGTTACTGCCTTCTCTTAGAGTTGTCCTGATCAGGCTTGGGGCCTAGTTACAGATTAGTCTTAAAGAGTCACAGTAACTTTTAAAAAAATCAAACCTTGCAAAAGCTAAAATAATTTGGAGATATCTTTGCCCTTGACTTGTAGACATCTAAGAGGATGAAGAAAGGAGAGTCTAAGTGAGACTCTGGCCTACTTCCTAACAATGTCTTGGAAGTGGGATGATAGTAAAGGAGAAAGGCCACGGTCCAATCCCTCTACCTTCAGATAGGGAACTCAAATCCTGAAATTACTGTTTTCTTTCTGGCCTTTTCTCCTGGTTAGAGGAGGAAGTGGGAAGTAGTTTTGAGTAATACTTTGTTCATATTACTCTCTTTTTTTGTTTTTGTTTTTGTTTTTTTGTTTGTTTCTGGCCCCTCTACAATAGGGCAATAGCCCCCTACCCTGGATGGGTATAAGGTGGGCTTGGTCCAACAGGTGCCCAGAGGGTACAGACTCCTTTCTGGGGAGAGAATGCTCCCTACCATATAGTTGACAGTGGTTAGGAACTCTCCCTTTCCCTACCTATCTTCCTTTTAACAACAGAATTCCTGTTTTTCCCTTCTTGATTAAGTGTATTGATCACCCTGCAATCCTATTATGTATCTGAGTGTGTGTGTGTGTATGTATGTGTTATGGGGGAAGGGGGGGTTCTTTAAAATTTCTGTGGTTTGTGGCTTTTTCTTCCATACATTAGTTCCCACCATCGCATGCCCAGGGACCACTGCCTGGCATTATCGCATGCTGGGATCATCGGGGGAGGGTAGTGAAGCTCACCACTGTCCTTTGTTTTGGAGATTCTTATTTTTGCATAAGTAGTCCATCCTATGCAGATAGCTGACTAACTGTATTCCCCTTTCCCCTATGGCTGCTGATGTAAATAAACTGCATCTCCCCATTGGTAAACAGTAATAAACAAAATTTTAAAAAATGTCTATTTGGACTCTATATGCATCTTTTAAAACTGTATGTTTTCAGGCATCAACATAATAAGATAAATGTTGAATTAATTGTTGTTGAACCTTAATACTTTCTCCCTAACAGGAGTTCTATCAGAATGAAGAAACTGTCCACCCTTGTTTCTCAATTTGGCCTGCAAATTTAACTGTCTGTATCATACAGTGAAAGAGTCAAACCATATACAATCATCCCTTTTCCATATGAGGTAAGAAGGTGTTAAAGTAAGTCCAGTGCTGTCACTAAAAGCCCACTGTGAAAGATAGTTCCATTTGAATTGAACTCAATATATCCTAGTATGTACATTTTACCATCAATTTAAGCTAATATCCTTGCTCTCAAAAGGTAAGTGATTCACAACAGACGATGGTTCTGCCTTTGTAATTTTTTTCTCAATACTTAAAAAAAATTTACCTCAACAATTTAGATCTTTCATTTCATTTTTAATATTAATTCTGAGGTTTTTCATCCCATTCCTAACCCACAGTTTGAGCACTTTCCCTAGAAACTACTTAGTGATCCTGTGTCCTAATAAGTCTCTTGCTAAGTGTTCTAATTTATTAAAGTTTCATATTGGAAATAATATTGAGATTAATAAAAATTTCAGAAATGGGTCCAGAGAAGAATCTTTGACTCAATAGGATACCTCAGGGAAGCTTATAGATGTGTAACATGATATTGAGTCTCTAGGAGCACTCAATGTACTTGTCACTGTCCAGTTTAAATAGACCAGGGCCAACGTGATTTGGGAAAACTGAAAAATTTGACGTGTAAAACCCATGATGCAACCATAACAAGAGAAATTCTTCAAATGAAATTTCACCAAGATTATTTTGCCTTAAGTAAGAATTCTACTACTTTTATTAAAATTCACTGTCGGGATCTACTATCAATTAGTTTTCAAATGCATCTGCAGCAAATATTTTTGGTTACTATTTTGTAGGTTTGGAGTTTAATATATTTAGTACTAAGCTAATTAGTTTTCTAAAAAGATAATTGCAAGACCCATGCTTTACCAAATACTTGACAATGGGACTTTGAAGGTTATTATGTTTTCTAATTAGTATGATCTTTAAAGAAAAAAAAAAGAAAAAACACATCGCATACCTTTTAACTACCCATGTTTAACTTCCTAGATTTAGCATTTTAACTATAGCATGTAGCATCAGGTCAAGAACCTGATAAATGATTGCTTGATGTTGACAAAGACAAAATGAAGTATGCTGAAGTAACTAAAAATTCAGGAAGAACTTTCTTTGCACACATTAATAAGTAAAATTGACTTCTCTTAAGACCTATCTGAAGTGTTGTAAAGTTTTTCTTATAATTTTTTAAAAGAGTTTTATGAATAAACCATTTATGTGCTAAAAGCACAATAGTTACTAAATTTATTTTCATGTTGGTATTTAATTATGGTTAACGAATTGCCAGTTTTCAAGTCAGCGAGAGATAATATCAGATTTCAGAAGTTTTTCTCTGCTGTGAAGGATTATGAGCTCTCTGATTTTCATTTATTTTCCAAAAGATGCCCATAATGTTGCTTTGGAGGACAGCATTAGAAATGATGTTCCTATTCAAAACGGTTTTGCGGATAAACCTTAAACTATTGGGATTTTTTTGTTTGTATTTTTCCATTTTTGAAAACATTTTCAATCGTATATTTCTTGAGACTCATTGGAAATATGTGAACCAAAAAGTAAATACTAAATTGATTTTAGAGATGAAAAAAATATCTTCAGCAGCAGTGACTTGCCCATAGTTCCAAATGCAAAAATTTGCAAGTGGTGGAAGCAAAAGTCGAATGCTGGTGTTGTGACTCCTAGGTCAGTGGTCTTTGTTGAAGCAGTGGAATAATAACTAATTAAAAACAAAACAGAATGAAAAATCCATGATTCTTATGAACAACCTTAGGGCAATGAATTTGAAAACAGAAAAAAGGGAAGTCTATTTTAAAATAGAACTCAAAAGTAACTCAAGGAATTGTAAATTTTTAAAGTAAATTAATAGATCTATAACTTTTAAAACACCACACAATTAGAAATTATAGACAATACAGCAAATGAAACAATGACAAAAACATAGGCAAAATAATATCAAAATAGATTCTTTTCATGTGGATGTTAGCAAACCAACTCCTTTAAAATAACAAAAGTAAACGTCAACAAGTCAGGTTAATCACAGGATGGCAAGATTTCAGCTCAAAATCATCACATTATCATTAGAGAAAATCCATGTGAAAATTTGAATTGATACTGAAAAATAGTTTGAAAAAATTCAATATGAATTATTGCCTTAAAAAAAGACATCAACAATATAGAAACAAAAGTTCAAGAACTTATACACACTGCAAAAGGGTATGTACCAAAAATCTACACCGATCGCCATGCTTAATAATGAATACTTGGAAGCACTCCCTTTAAAAGCAGGAATGGAAGAAACAAAATTTTTACTGTTCTAAGATGATAGTTACATGAACAATTTTATAGAATCTAGAAACAGTTGTTCTCAGGTGACATCTACATCTACATGGATTATTTTATAGAATCTACAAACATACCATTGAAAGTAGTGAGAAAATTTAGCAAAGTTGCTGGATATAAGACCAATATCTAAAATCAGAATACCAACATTTAAAAAGTGTTATTAAATTTAGATTGTAATTCAACAAGTTATAACGGTCCTATGAAATAATATCACAAGAAATGTGCAAGATTTTATAAAGAAAATAATATTTTCTAATATGTTGGGAAAATCCCAAGTAAACGGAGAGGATGTTCACGTATAGAAAATGCAATCAGTATTGCTCCAAATATGTGAATTAGAAGCAATCTCTATTACAATCCAAATAGATGTGCTCATGAAACTTGACAAATTAATTTTAAGATTTATGTGAACACCAGATGCTAGAATAGACAAGATCTTTTTGACAAATGTATATTGTAGTTTCGGTGCAGAAACAATGGAATGGAATAGAGTTTAGAATTGGAAACACATAGATTACACGTTTATGTCTTCTTGATGTGTGATTAAATTTGTATTATAATCAGTGGAATATAAACCAATATATTGTTCTGGAATAGATTATCCATGAATAAATAATAAAACTGTGCTCAGATGCAAAATTCCCAAATGGATTAAAGATTTAATGTGTAAAAGTAAAATGTCAAAACTTTCTAGAAAAATATAGGAGGATATGTTCATAATTGTGTGTAAGGGGAAAATTTCTTAAAAGTACAAAACATAGAGAAAAGATAGATGTATTGGACCATAAGAAAAACGGAACTTTCTGTTCATTAAATCATATTGGTTTGAAAGAAACAAACCAATAACCCAGTGTGCTAGTTGTTTAGTTCTTATAACTGATAAAAGATTATTAACAAAATAGTTGTACAATTGCCAAGTGTACAAAGTAAAAGAACAACTCATTCTTACAAAAAGAAATATGAATGGCTAAAAAGTTGTAAAAGTTTACTTAGGTTCAAAAAAATGCAAACTAAAAGCAAAATACCAATTTACCCTACTCAGTATGATTAACTTTTTTTAAATGGTGATGACATCAACTCTGAAAGGCATATGGAGCAATTAAAACACATAAAGTGCTAGTGGTCTGTAAATTGGTTAAAAAAGAATTTAGAAATATCTACTGTGGTTGAAGACAAAAGTAACCAATACCTCAATATTTCCACCTGTTGCAACTTTATATGTAATAGGAAAAAATTCAAAGCAATATACCCACTTGAAATATATATAGTCACTATACAGAAGTGAGAGTAAACCAGAGCTGTAAAAATAAAATAGTAAAACATATTTTACTTTGCCCCATTTCATTTGATGTTTAACAATAGGCAAGTCAATGCTATGTATTTAATTGTGTATATGTAATAAACTACCAAAAATATTGGATCAGACTTCCACTTTCATATTTATGGTCGTGTAGATAGCAGACTAATTGATATAGGACGTCTGTATGCTAAATAAACTGCGGTAAAGATACTCTTAAATGCATTACTATCTTCCCAAAGAAGTAAAGGAAATACTCAGAATACCCATGGCTGTCTTCTAACGCACACACACCCCAAAGATACAAATGAAAACAGAAAAGGAAAGTGCACCGGGAAAAATATAGATACCATATGGGAATGGGGGATTAGGTCCTGATCATCACAAATTGAAACTGTAAATACAAGACGCCTGAAATAAGGTTTATATCTTTGGTGAAAGGATGGGCAGAGTAAAACTAGATAGATTGATAAATGATTGATTAATGGGTGGATAGATAAGAGAAACCTTCCTTACTTTAGAGAGGACAGATGAGAAAGAAAGACTCTGCTATTGCCTGAGATGAAATGAATTGACTAAAATAATAACAATCATGCCATTATCATCAACATTTACTTTGAGAATGTGCACCCATACACTTGGTTTCACATAGCTACCCTACCCTGCCAGTCAGAGAAACTTTGACCTGAGAATTACATAATGTATTGAAAATGATACTGTACCTCTTGGCTACCTGACAAAATTTTGTTCCTTTAGCATTTTCACAAAACATAAGTTTGCAATAAAAGAAGCATCTGTTTCTTTAAAGATTTCATTTATATCCATCATACTTTGTATCTTATAAGTCTGTTTACAAGAAAGGAATTCTAGCTCTACAGTTTGTTATTTCTGCTGACTCTACATAATTAGAACTTTCTTATAAATAGAGTTATTAAATATAGAATATGGCCATAAATGAAATATATACGTTAATAGATGGAATTTTAAACATGAGCAAAGAACAGGAGAAAATAATGCAGTTTTAAAAATGAAAGTAATAGAAATAAAAGTGAAAAGAATGTATGCCAAAAAAATTTAACCTCGTTGTATAGGTAAAATATCAGTTTAATCAAGCTGGGAAAAGAAGAAATGAATCAGAATGAAGCAGTTCATGCACAGCAGAGTAGTTGTGTTGCCTCCTTGTCTCCCAGTGATAA